CAAATTGTGATGATACTAGGTATTCACGAAAAGGTGTGCATATCCCGCTCCACCGGTGGCACCCGTCACATATGGAATAAGTCAAGATAAGGAATTGCATTGGACATCATTTTGGTCACTGATGCTTCAAATTTGGAAATGTCTACCATACAACTTTTAACAGTTTTACCGGGGCATTAAATGGTGTAACCATGATCAAACAACTTCTGAGCAAGAGTAGCATGATGCTCTTTAAAATCTATACTCAACAACAACAGTTCCTGTGACACCAATATTTGTTTGGTTTTCAATATTGTAGTACATGCATGGAATCAAGTCATAAAAACGCAACTGCTACAGAAAAGCATGCATTCCATGCAAAAGTTGACTTTTATGCAAGTCCTATGCATTTCACAACCCAAGAAAGGGTATAAAAACATGTGCGTTAACAGGATTCCATATGCATTGTTTAACATCGTGCTGACAACCACTCAGAAAAACAACAAAATTACGCAATTATTCAACATTACGAAATGCCACGCCTGTCCGAAAATGAGCGTCTGCGAGCCATTGGTATGCTTGAAGCAAAATCGAGTCAACGTGATGTTGCAAGACAATTTAACGTCCACGGAAACACCATTTGGTGTTTATGGTAACGTTGGCAACAGACGAATTCAGTCAGAGAACATCTTCCGAGTGGCAGGCCACGCGTAACCAATAATTGACAAGACAACTGGATTCGAACAACACACCTACGAAATCGATTCCAGCCAGCAACAGTGACTGCAAGAAGCATCCCTGGCCTTCGACGAATATCTTCACAAACCGTACGCTGCAACCTCAGATGTGCAGGGATTGTCGCCAGAAGACCCGCCAGACGTCCCATTTTGACAGGAAATCACCGTCAAGCACGTCTACGTCTACAGTGGTGCAGACAGCGTCTACGCTGGACGGCCATGCAGTGGGGACAAGTTCTATTCACTGACGAGTCTCGTTTTCACCTCAGCCACAGCGATGGACGGATTCGAGTGTACCAACGTCGAGGTGAACGTTACGTCAATCATTGTTTCATTGAAGAAGCGAGGCGGAGATGCTGCCAAGGATTTGTTAAAGAAACAAGCAATATGGCAAATATATACACAAAGAAAATAAATTAAGCACACCCCTATTTCTGAACCATGACAAATGGCAAAAATCATGGCATGGGATGACTGACCACAGGAGCTGGGCGATACCAATGTCATCGGATAGAACAAACATTTGACAACAAATAAAGAAGGTATTGGTGAGTTGTGATTGAAATTTACTGACAAAAACATCATGGTAACACAGGTACTGTTTTTGACCTTAGACAATACTTAAAAAAAGTATGGAGCTGCAGGATTAAGTAAACGAGTTACATTTGACGTTTCATGTGATAATGTTTCTTAAGTCTCTACTTGAAATGACACATGAAACAGATCAGTAGCGGGTATAACCGCCACGTGCCCGGTTGATGCAGTCCACCCTACGTCTCAAGCCTTTAGTCAGACGTTGGATCTGTTGATGGGTCAACAACAACCACTCCTGATGCAATGCTGCTTCCAATTGCCGTAAGTCTTGTACGGGAGGATCTCGTGTCTGTATGTGCTGCCCCAGAATATCCCAAACATGTTCAAGGGGGTTCAAATCTTTTCTCATTGCTGGCCAGGGTAGAGTCGTTATTGCATTGGCCCTCATGTAATCCACGACTGAATGTGAACGATGAGGCCTGGCGTTGTACTGAGGTCGAGTAGCAGGAGTGTGGTTGTCAAAATGAGGAACTACTACTTGCCCCAAAACGTTTGGGATGTACTGAGCCCCTGTTAAGTTGCCCCTTATGATAACCAAATCCAGCCTGCAATCATGAGAGATACACCCAAAACCACTACCGAGCATCCGATGTAAGCAACAGTCAGTTTAATGTTCCTGGGGGTGTAGGCCGTGTTCCAGTGCCTCCAAACTCCGTTCTTTCATCAGTGACATGGAGCGGAATACTTTCGTCTGACCAATGGATCCGTCTCCAAGTTCTCAGGTTCGAGTTATGTTGCGCATTACACCATGCTAAACGAGCAGCTTTTTGGTCATCTCTCAACAAGGGATGCTTTATGACTCGTATAGGACTCAGTCCTGCTGCTTTCAGCCGGTTCCTGACGGTTCTGGTGCTGAAACGATGATTGGGCAACCAAAGCTGTTTCAGACGAGTACTTGTTAAAAAGGGTTCTCGGCGTATGAGAGGAAGAAGGTCCCTGTCTTCGCGATGTTTCATCACAGGAGGTCTTCCGAAAATGGGATGGTCCTGTACATCACCGGTCTGAGAATGTTTCTCGACTAAACGGCTTACGGCAGTATGATGATACCCCAAATTACAAATTACATTCCTGCATTATGCATGCCGATTATTTGTCATCTTTGGCGTGTGCTTTCTTTGTGCATACTTACCAGCCCCGCGTCATATACCGATGAAGAGATTGATATTTTTACAACGAATGAAGTTCATCAGGCTGACCTCTTGTTTCTTCCTCATGATAAGGTAAGACGCAAAACATTTAAATACGCTTTAACCGTAGTAGATGTAGCTGGTCGGTAAACAGAGGCTGAACCATTCACCTCAAAAGGTTCAACAAAAGTAGCTAATGCACTGGGCCGCATATATAAATAAACACCGACCTTAAAAATGGCCTAAGTTGTTTCAAATAAATCCTGGTCGCGAGTTTTTGGGATCAGTAACTAAACTATTAACAAAGCACGATGTTGCAATCAGGCGTGTCAAAAAAGAGGCCCACCATAGCCAAGCTATTGTTGAAAGATTTAACCGGGCATTAGCAAAAGTTTGTTTGGATATCAGGATGGGATTGAAATGAAATCAAATCGATTAAGATCAGCGGAAACTGTGACACGGTTATCAGCTGTTGTATCAGCACTGAGTAATGAAGTTACAAGATTTATAGCAGTCTTATAGGGCTCCATCCAAGGTCTTTGATCAAACTTAAGAACTTTGTGTATTTTCTTTAGTTTCATGCCTAATGATAGATATAACTGGAGATTTCTATAACTGGACTATATATTTTGTCATATACATCAAATTTGGTACAAGCTTTTCTGTTATTAGTCCAGCGGATTATGTCATATTATAAAAAAAATCGTGTACTTTGTGGTAGAAGCATGAAATTTGGCATCAATATACATCATACCAATACGGTCAAATTTAGATATAGTGCCATCGTTGAATTGACCTTTGGTGACCTTGGCGGCCATCTTGAAAAATGGCCGACAATCTGACAAATATCTGTTAATATCTTGATAACTAAGATAGCTGGAGCCATTATATTGGTGTGTAAATAAATATGTTTTATCTCCAAGAAAGTTGAAAACATCGTTGAGTGTATTAACCCTTGATAACTGGAAATATTCCTGATAATATGGCATCAGCGCATATGGCGGGCGACTCTCCTACCAGTCACTGTAGAAGTATAACCCATCCAAGATAAGCATATTGGAAGTGTTCGTTAAATTGTCTCTGCTGTTGTCTTGGTGCGCACAATAAGGGTTAAAAATACCTAATACTCATATCTCAAGACAAATGAGCTTTCCATTACAATTTATTGGTTACATGTACATGTCCTAGCAACATCCATCACACTTGCACAGTGCAGTACAGCTTAATGCTGCTTTCAAGCACTTGCAGTTTGCCCGACAACCTTTTGTGCAGCCACATTACAGTAGTTCTCTGCACACTTTGCTGGCCTGTGGGAGGCTGCCCCACATGACTTCCCATGTTCCTCCATCGGTTCTTGTCCAACCCCATCCTTCTGGTCGTGGTATGTCAACCACTGGTCTAAGAGCCTGGCTCCAACAATGCCCAGCCTGGTAAGCTGCTCTTCTCACATGCTGTAGAAGGGCAGATTGTGTTGGTGGAATGTTGTTCACATCTCTTCCTTTGTGTGCATGACACTTCAAGCAGGTTTTGTCATATAGTAGAACAAAAAATCTCTCTACAGTGTCCATAGTCGTATCGACATCTCTCAACTGTGGCTTGTTCATTAGTGCAGCAAACTCTGCAGTGACCTCAGGGTACATGTTCCAGGTATCCCACACTGTTTTCTTTCCCCTTCCAAAGATGCAGGAGACAGTGTCGCATCATGTCAAGGCATGGAACATTGGAAGTGCGAGTCTCTTGTCTGGTCCAATTGCTAAAGCGGTGTCATGTACATGAATCAGCCGGAAGTGTTTGCCTGTGACAAAGGCCACCCACAAAGCGGTTAGTAGCATTCTTAGCTGTGCAAACACATGTACAGCAAGCAAAACAACATCACTGTCTACTGTATGGATGAGAACTTCCTTGTACTGTTTAGCTGCATCAGCGACATGGACCATACTTCGGCTGTCTGCTTCCTCATGTGTGCAGGGGCGGTCGGGTAGCCTAGTGGTTAAAGCGTTCGCTCGTCACGCCAAAGACCCGGGTTCGATTCCTGACATGGGTACAATGTGTGAATCCCAATTTCTGGTGACCCCCGCCGTGATTTTGCTTGAATATTGCTAAAAGCGGCTTAAAACCATACTCACTCACTCACTCACTCATGTGTGCAAGGTGCTAGTCCTTCTGTTGTTCTAGCCAGGTGACAGACAACATCCTCGAGCAGTGTGCTAATGACTTGCTTATCGGTTTGGATAGTGATAGCTTCTGTGTTGAGCAACACAAATAGTTCTTTCTTATTGTCAGAAAGTTTCAAGAAGTCTCACCCGTTTTTTTGGATTGGATTGTTTGGTTGTACTCGACGGCGCACTCCTTTACCTCTCTTGTCTCGTGTTTGTTCTTTCAAAGAGTCTGACCTATATTCATCCCACACAATATCTATTCATTGGCACTTATGGTATGGTTGAAAGACATGCTGAGAATACTCTTTGAAAGTCTTTGTAGAACCTGGCTTCAACTTGTGAACTATTGCTGGTCCATCTATCACTACAACCTCTGTTGCTGTATTTATCTCATCTTGCTCCAGCAAAACATCTTCCAGGCATTGAACTATGTCAGATTTAGTGCCAAGCCTGAGTTTTCTCCTGTCTGAAAGTGATGGTGGGCATACCTGATTCTCATGAGAAAAGAAATCATGAAGATTCCCATCACGCACTTGACAAGCGACATAGTCTTGAAAAGAGATGTCTGTCACATTTCAGCGCTGAAACAAATTCCTGAGCTTTAGTTTACTGTCGTTTCACTGGTGTACTAAAGAGATAAAGTTTGTTCTTTTTTATTGGGTCGTCTATAGGTTTGAACTTTCTACAAGCCGCTGTTTCACAAATGTGTTGTATTGTTCACATCCAAGCTTTTCAAGCTTATACACGTTGTCATTAACAGATTTATCAGCAATGTCCTGTGTATCAAGTACAAAAAGGTCGCAACTAGTTTCAAGGAATGGATTACCATACTCTTCAATAACAGATTTCAGTGAAGTGACATCTCCAATGAAAGCCTTTTGTACACCTGGACGTTGTTCATGATGGGGCATGTCAGGTTTCTTCAAAGTCATTGATGAGACGTGCCATCTCAGGTCCACTGACCATCCATCTCTGGAGAGCAGCTGGATTCTCAGTCAGCCCAACAGCTCCACCATCATCTTTTACCACAGCATTATTCTGTTCCTGTGCTTGATCAATAATAATTCTTGAGTAGGCATGAGTTGTCTTGTTCACTGTGAACTGTCCATATAAGAACTGAGCATGGACATCGGAGTGCAGCTTTGACACGGTCACCATGTGGACTGATATCCATCGTGGTTTCTTTAAGGCTGCTTACAGGGTCTAGCACCATCTGGTCAGCATTGTCAAAGTGCTGGAACACTGAGATCCCTGTCCCATTGAATGAACTCCCCGCAGTGGTAGCACTTGTTTGATGATTGATGTTATCCACAGCAGATGTTGTAAACACGCCAATTTTCAAGTCTGGTGGACAAACTGTGTTCAATCGTTCATAACATCTACAAGTCTTGGTGCCAATATCAGTTGAAATCTCAAGAACTCGGTTATAGGACACTGACGGTCCTAGGTCAAAGAGTTTTTCAAACAGTTCATGCTTGCGTGTCTTGTTGTGAAGGAGGATCCCAAGATACACGCAAAGGAGGCTCCAGAGACTTGTTGTGGCGTATTGGTTGCATTTCCTTTGGATTGTGTCTTGTAGCGTTAAACAGTAGTAACCAACACATGCTGAGTAGTGCTTCATTCTCTGGTACAACCGACTGTTCCGTAAAACTCGCTCCATACAGAACCATGGCAACAAGAGTGAGTAAAGCATAAGGAACCACTTCAACTTGACAGCCTTTGGAAAATTTGCCATCAAACGATGTTGATGCATTGAACATTTCATTCCGCACGATTCTTGCTGCCTGAGAAAGTACAAATGCATTGTCATCAACATCAATGTCAATGGCCTTCCGCAAAGCTGTACCAACATCATCATTGGATAGGCCTGCAACTCAGGAAAATTAGCCAGAATGCGATGTTTCAGCCCTGTAGACTGTATTGATGGAGTTTCCACACAAAGTTGTGAAAGTCTGTCACTGTACAGCTGAACTAAATTGGAGAGTTTAAATCCAGGTGATGTGTTCAGTGATTCTCTGTCAGTAAGTGCATCTTCATCAAATCAAAAGTTCTGCAAATGCTCTGGCATAAATGGCCTCTGTCTTTTTACCCTCACTGTTCTTGTTTTGTTCTGATGTTTTATGTCTGGCTGCTTTATTATGCCGAGCGATCAAACACTTAGAGTGGTACTTTGCCTTACTAGCCTCCAAACGATACTTTTGCTAAGATACGATCATCAAGTAGCTTTGTTGCACATCTTCGAAATCTCTCACTGATCATTTTGGTCATTGCTTCATGCAGTAGATCAGATGTACTAGACGGTTCCTCACAGAATAAACACACATTATCCATGGATATTTTGGCAGCTGCAATCTCCCAGGGATATTTAGCTGGTGCCAGCTACTTTGGATATTTAGCTGGTGCAATCTCACACAGATATATAGCAGGCGCAATCTCACGGGAGATATTAAGCAGGTGCAATCTCACAGGGATATTTAGCAGATGGTATCTCTCAGGGATATTAAGCAGGCGCCATCTCGCTGGGATATTTAACAGGTGGAATTTACCAGGGACATTTAGCAGATGTAATATCAAAGGGATATTTAACAGGTGCAATCTCACAGGGATATTTAGCGGGTGCAATCTCACAGGGATATGTAGCGGGTGCAATCTCACAGGGATGTTTAGCGGGTGCAATCTAACGGGGATGTTTAGCAGGAGCAATCTCACACGGATATGTAGCAGGCGCAATCTCACGGGAGATATTAAGCAGGTGCAATCTCACAGGGATATTTAGCAGATGGTATCTCTCAGGGATATTAAGCTGGCGCCATCTCGCTGGGATATTTAACAGGTGGAATTTACCAGGGACATTTAGCAGATGTAATCTCACAGGGATATTTAGAGGGTGTAATCTCACAGGGATATGTAGGAAGTTCAATCTCACAGGAATATTTAACAGGTGCAATCTCACAGGGATATTTAATAGGTGCAATCTCACAGGAATATTTAACAGGTGCAATCTCACAGGGATATTTAATAGGTGCAATCTCACAGGGACATGTAGCGGGTGCAATCTTACAGGGATGTTTAGCGGGTGCAATCTCACGGAGATGTTTAACACGCACCATCTCACAGGGATATTTAGCGGGTGCAATCTCACAGGGATATGTAGCGGGTGCAATCTCAAAGGGATGTTAAGCGGGTGCAGTCTCAGGGATATGTAGCGGGTGCAATCTCACAGGGATATTTAGCGGGTGCAATCTCAAGGGGATATTTAGCGGGTGCAATCTCACAGGGATATTTAGCGGGTGCAATCTTACAGGGATGTTTAGCGGGTGCAATCTCACGGAGATGTTTAACACGCACCATCTCACAGGGATATTTAGCGGGTGCAATCTCACAGGGATATTTAGCGGGTGCAATCTCACAGGGATATTTAGCGGGTGCAATCTCACAGGGATGTTGAGCGGGTGCAATCTCACAGGGAAACGTAACAGGTGCAATCTTACAGGGATCTTTAGCAGGTGCAATCTCACAGGGATGTTTAGCAGGTGCAATCTCACAGAGTTATTTAGCATGTGATATCCCTGAGGGATATGTAGCAGGCCCTATCTCCCGGGGTTATTTAGCAGTAGGAATCTACCAGGGATATTTAGCATTCGCCATCTCATATGTTGTATTTAGCACCTTACATCTACTAGGGATCTAACAGGGATATTTGGCAGGTGGAATCTTACTGGGACGATTAGTATGCGCCATCTCACAGGGATATGTAAGAAGTTCAATCTCACGGGGATGTTTAGCAGGTGCAATCTCACAGAGATATTTAACAGGTGCAATCTCACAGGGATATTTAGCAGGTGCAATCTCTCAGGGATATTTAGCAGGCGAAAGCTCACAGGGATATTTAGCAGGTGCAATCTCTCAGGTAAATTAAGCAGATGGAATCTCACTTGGATGATTAACATGCGCCATCTCACAGGGATATTTAACAGGTGCAATCTGACAGGGGTGTTGAACAGGTGCAATTTCGCAGGGATATTTAACAGGTGCAATCTACCAGGGATATTTAGTATGCACCATCTTACAGGGATAGTAAGCAGGTGTAATCTCACAGGGATATATATCACTTGCCATCTCACATGGATATTTAGCAGGTGCATTCTACCAGGCGCCATCTCATATGTTCTATTTAGCATCCTTCATCTACTAGGGTTATTTAGCAGGTGCAAACACACGGGGGATATTCAGCAGGTGCAATCTCACAGGGATGTTTATCAGGTGCAATCTCACAAGGATATTTAGCGATGACATCTCACAGGGATCTTTAGCAGGTGCAATCTACGACGGGTAGTTTGCACGCGCTATCTCACACATATATTTAGCATGTGCCATCTACCGGAAATATTTAGCAGGTGCCATCTACCAGGAATATTTAGCAAGTGCCATCTACCAGGGGTATGTAGCAGGTGCCATCTACCAGGGATATCTAGCAGGTGCCATCTACCAGGGATATTTAGCAAGTGCCATCTCACAGGGTTAGTTAGCAAGAACAGCCTCACAGGGATATATATCACTTGCTATCTCACATGGATATTAAGCAGGTGTCATCTGCCACGGATAATTAGCAGGTGCCATCTGCCAGGGATATTTAGCAAGTGCCATCTCACAGGGATATTTAACAAGAACAATCTCACAGGGATATATATCACTTGCAATCTCACAGGGTTATTTAGCGGGTGCCATCTACCACGGATAATTAGCATGCACCATCTCACAGGCATTTTTAGCATGTGCCATCTACCAGGGATATTTTGGCAGCAGCAATCTCACAGGGATATTTCGCATGCACCATCTCACCGGGATATTTAGCAGGTGCTATCTCCCGGGGATATTTAGCCATGCTCCATCTCACATTGGGTATTGAGCATCTTCCATCTACTAGGGATATTTAGCAGGTGCAATCCCCCGGGGGAATTTAGCAGGTGCAATCTCACAGGCATATTTTGCAAGTGCAATCTCACGGGGATATTCAGCAGGCGCTATCTCTCAGGAATATTTAGCAGGTGCAATCTCACAGGAATATTTAATGGGCTTCAGACATTGTACCCATGTCGGGATTCGAACCCGGGTCTTCGGGGTGAAGAGCGAACGCTTTAACCACTAGGCTACCCGACCGCCCCTCAACACTCCAAGACGGTCAATATTGCAAGGAAAGTCAAGATCTCCAAGACGATCCAGATGGCAAGGAAAGTAAAGATTTTCAAGACGGTCAAGATGGTAAGGAAAGTCAAGATCTACAAGACGATCCAGATGACAAGGAACGTCAACATCTCCAAGACGGTTCAAGATGGCAAGGAAAGTCAACATCTTCATGACGGTCCAGATGGTATGGAAAGTCAAGATCTCCATGACGGTCAAGATGACAAGGAATGTCAAGATCTCCATGATGGTCCAGATTGCAAGGAAAGTCAAGATCTCCAAGACG